CATACTTTGATCATGACCCACCCTGTCCTTTCTAAGGTAAATAATTTCAATCATTCCAGCCTCCTCATAAGAGTTTGTTTCCAGACCCTTAATTATGTTCCTCTCCACCACACCCCTCCCCCCAAACCGCTCTGCAAGACCCTTTTTGAGATGGGATGACCTTAGTGATGCAAAGGATCCCAGATGAGGCCAAAGCATTGATTTATGTAAAGGTCATTATAACATTTATATATGATTCTCCACTCCATTCCTCACGCATCTGCACACTGATCAGTCTATCGTGATGCCAAGGTCCTTTTCTCAGACTGATGCAGCTGGGTCAGAACCCGGTGCAATGCATAAGTAGTTTACATTTCTCCCTTTCCTCTCCGCATTGCTTCTCATTTATCGAGCTTTGTTTGCCATCATGCCCACTCACCAGCTTAACCCAGGTCATTTTGTCATCTGCAAAGTTTGCTACCTCACTATTTACCCTACATGCCAAATCATAAACGATAAGGAACTTAATACAGAAACTTGAGGCAGTCATTACTTCTTTCATAATGCAAAATGACCATTAAACCCTACCTTTTGCTTTCTACCTTGTAGCCAGTTCTTGACTATTGAGCATCTGCAGTATTATCTTTTGTAAGACCTTGCCAAAGGCCTACAAGAACCCAGGTTGACTGGTTCTCCTTTACCCATTCCTGTAGTCACACTTTCAATGAATTCTAGGAGATTAGTGAAGTATGATTTTCCTTTGCTGAATCCCTGTTACTTAGACCCCCTTCCCACTGTGATCATCCACATGATTTGTTATTCCATTCTGAATAATTTCAACTGATGTGCCAGGCACCACTCTAAATCTTAAGGGATTAGGCTTCATTTCTTGGACCATCCCAGAGGCTTTTCTAAATCTGTGTCAGTGATGTTATGAATGTCCTACTCTAGTTACCATAGCACAGAACAATCCAGCTTCTTCACAGATCAAAGCAAACAGCCAATCTGGCTCTACGCTACTAAGCTAATATACAAAAATGCAGGAAACCAGTGACAGAAAATCTCATAAACAGGGGGCCTAGTACAAATAAAAAGTCACCCAGGAGCTCCTCAACTATAGCCTGATGATATCATTAGAAAGGAAAAAAACTTCAGGACAAGGCTACCGCCGACCTCAGCAGCATGGCATCTGAGGCTGCATTCATCCCTGACAACAACTGCAGTCAACCACATTGCACCAGAGAAGAGTTTGGCTCTTGCCCATCACAAAGCAATATGCACGTGCTGGCTCTTCTGGTTGCCTTGGGGTTGAGCCAGCACTGGCTCCTGGTCAGTTTGTTGTCATGCTCTAGCAGCCTCCCCAGAAGCAAATAAGAAATCACCCTACCCCAGGATCCCCGGAGGTCTGTCTCATCCTTGCTCTGTCATGGCCACAACTCCGATAGCAAAATCACACACAAAGGCAGCTTTTCTCCAACTTGGGTCGACTTCCTAAAAATCACATGAGACTAAAATGTTCTCCGGGGACAAACTGAGAGCAGTTACAGAAACAACAGCCACATTGATAAAACATGAAGTCTTCCAGAGCCTCCCAGGGAGGGAGGGGACCGCTGGAGAGTCAGAGTGCAGGGACTAGGGATGGCCGAGGCATTATCTCCAGGGAAACAGTGAGTTTCTGCACTAGCAGATAAACAATCACTTGGCTATCGTGGTCAATTGGAAGTGCCAGGACGGCCATGCCAAAAGGCAGCTAGGGAGACCTTTGGGAGCAGATTAGGTCACTAGTTGAGTCTCAGGTTTTTGCTCTCAAGATGAAGACTCCTACGTGGAACAAACTCCAGTCTACATGGCAACCAACTTGGGAATGTGCTGGGGGAGAGAGCAAAGCTATCACTACTCCAGAAAGGCCCAACTAGGTACTCTTTACTGTGGTATCCCTGGGCAGGAAGAGAAGGGAGCCAGATTGGAAAGGATCAGGCATGAGGAGGGCGGGAATTTATCCATTAAGATTATTCCAGGGGTTGCCCTGCCTTTATCTCTCCCTTCCCCACCAAGCAAGCACCTGATATCCTCTTTCCTCTTGGCTCTGCCACTCATCTCCTGGAAGACCTTAGGCAAATCCCTTCACACTGCTGGGCCTCTGCTCCCCACAACTGCAATACAGGTACACAGATCTGTGAACTGCTGGGAGCTCAGTGGAGCAACATCACTAGGCAAAAGCTGGATACCCGTACTGCTAATGTCTTGCTCTCTGTTGTCACGGTGGGAAAAACAGCAGATTGTTTCCCATAAATCCAGCCCCATGTGATGACAGGAAGGAAGACACAAGCTTGGCAGCATGGTTCCTCCCCAAAGCGAGACTGGTGGAGACCAGCCCAGCTCTGATCCTGACAGGCACAGCGAGTGGAGGGTACAGCAATGACCCCATTGGCATGTCTTCCGTTCAGCTCTGTCCTAGCCCACTCTTCTGAACAAGAGGCATCCAACTCTGACTTTTAGCAAAGGATCTGTCATTTTTCTACCTCATTCCCCCTAGCTCCAGTGAATTTAAGAGCCAAATTCCCACCATTCTTTCCAGACACACTCTTTGCAGTTTTCACATGTTGGTAGGTGTGTTTCACCAATCATATAGCAAACTATCGTTTCCTAGGAGTTTGGGCTGACTTACAGGCAAAGGGGACTGCCAGTCAACAGTGACCACAGACCAATTCCTGGGCTGTGCCAGACTCCAAGGGTCACTCAGCCTGGAAACCCCTTTTAACCAGTCTGCATAAAAGCCTTCCTCCTACACCCCCAGAAGGTTTTGCTCCTTCCTGGCTCATAGACAGAGTTCATGCACCTGGTGAGCATGACAGATACCAGGTTAAGGCAGATGGATGGAGGCTCCCATGCCCAGCTCTTCATTTATGTCTACAGGTGAGTAAAATGCCCAGGTCTACCTATGAATACAAGCAAAAACAGAGTGGAGCCCAGTGAGCCTTCCCAGTCACTTCAGGGCCATTGGTGCAGTACAGGAACATACACAGGCATTTAATGAAATACTGTTACTTGCTAAGAAATCCACAGAAATGCTGGTCTGTGAAGGTAGATGTAGGGATATCTGGTGCAGAATTGTGGCATCCAGGGAAGCAGCAGTTTTGCTAATGCTGGCTATACTGAAAAGCCAACACAGGTGCATGGAGGAGGAAAAGGGAACATCACTTCTCACCCTTTTTATGTACGATGCCAGGCAAAGGCAGGAGAAAAGTCTGGCTTTACAACAGCCCTCTCAGGCCTTTTATTTTATTTATGCCTCTGAATTCCTATGGTTCAGGATAAATTCCCAGGGCTGTGGTCTAGATCCACCAGGGCGTCGAGGTCCTTAAGTTCTAGTTCAGCACTCAGCCCCACTGAAATCAAACAAGAGTCCTTTGTCAATCTGGCCTTAAATGCCACTCTCTAAATGCAGAGCCAGGCCTGTGTTGCCCCCCGGGCAGAAATACTGCATTACATATCCACTTTGAACGGGCGGTTCAATGATGATTGAGAATGCAGATTCATGAAGAACTGGGCTCACTCAGTGCCTTGGTGTTGCTCCAGATTTATGCCACGGTATAACAATGTTCAGATTCCAGTGGCATCTCTCCATACATGTAGCCATATTGTTTTGTGCTGCCTGTTATTTTTAGTTGTGCTGTAGCACCTGGCAGGGCTGGCACCTACTCCTTCTTCTTCTATTTTTAAGATTGTTTCTCTTTCCCTTCTTTAAAAGCTTGTGCTGTGTGTTTGCCTTGGCTAGCTGATCCATGCAGTGTGTGGCTAGGTGCATGAGGTTCTTTACAACCAAACAACAACCATATGTGGCATGTGCTTCTGTCAGGCATACCGCACAAAGAAGGAAGTTCATAGGACTATCTATCTTTAAGGCTAGAAAAGACTGTAATGATCATTTAGTCTGTCTTCCTGCCTTCCCACAGAAGAAAGAATTTCACTCCGTGATTCCTCCAGCTTCTGGTTGATCTAGAGCACATCGTTCAGAAAGGCTGGTGTAGAGACTGGGAGAGAGACATAACTATATGATGCTTTTAGGTGAGCTGACTAGTGTCTAATTATAATTAGCCTCACTGTTAGACATATACACTTGATTCCCATCTGTATTAGTTCTACTTCTGCTTCCAGCCACTGGGTTTTTCTCTGTTAGATCAAAGGACCTGCTGCTACCAGAAATCTTCCCCAGGTGGAGAAACTGATAGACAGAGCATGAAGGCACATCCCCATTTCACAGATGGGGAAACTGAGGCTCTGAGCAATGAGGTACTTTGCCCAAGATGTTGCAGTGAGCCAGCTGCACAGCTCACGAAAAGAACTCGGTATCACTCGGTCCCATTCACCAGGCCCTGTGGGCCTGAATGTATTTTTGGGATCCAATCTGGAGTGAAACCCAGATTCCTGGAGGAAGCCCATATGCCTGTGTTGTTGTTTTTGTGAGGAGGGGGAGTCAGCTGGCTTGATGGTCTCCTCACATTTTTTCCCTTGCCACACTTCCCGTTTCCTCTGTTTGGAGCAGCTCTGTCACTGAAGGGCCAGATCAAACAGCTTCTAAAGGTGTTGTTTCCCCTCTTTATTAATGTGTCTCAGCTCTGACTCATTTCCTTTCCCACTACAGATCATTCTTTGGTGAATTCTAAAATAAACCCCTTTGCTCAGCTCCCATCCTAGAGTTTGGCAGGTTAGCTACTGAATTGCCTTTGTTTGTTTCTTCTATTACTAACAAACAGTTTCAGTAACTCTTTAAGGGACAAGCTGAAGCCGGGATCAGGATACACTGCATCCGTGGGCTCCCCAGGGGTTTTCAAGAAGGACCAAGCTAATAATAATCAATGACTGTGTTTGTTAGCTTCCTTTTATTGTTGTCCTTGCTTGAGTTTATTGTGGGCTTTGGCCCCGGATGTTTCACTTCAGTCTGGAGCATCTGGAAGTTCTGGGAATTTCAGACAACACAGAGATTTACCACAACATGCTTGCAATCCACATTCCCTACCCCCCAAAATGAAATTAATAGACAGGCTGGATCCTCCAAGGGATTGGGGTTGTTCTAAAGAACAATGTGAGTTTATTTTTTTAAATCACATCTATGAGCAAAAAAAAAAAAGCATTTAATATGCTCATGGTCCATCTTAAGGATTAACTCATTAATCTTCACAGCATGTCTCTGGGGGCTAGGAATTATTATCCCTGTTTATGATTATCCCTGCTTCTATTTCATCCTAGCTGGATGTAGGTGGGCTGGGCAGTGTGCCCTGAAGAGGATGGAAATAAAGGATGCTCTAAACCTGCGGGGCACTGATGCCTGGAGTCTGATGTTGTGTCCTACATTTGTCTTCCTAAAATCCGCAGAGCCCAATCCTCTCAGATTGCCGGACTCAGAGCATCTCAAGTCACATGAATGAATGATGATCTGTTTCTACTGGCTTGGGATCTGGCCCACAATCCACCAAGGGAACCAGGGGAAAATGGAGAATCTTAATCAAACTCAAACTGTGAACCTGCCCCACAAGCCACAAGAGAAGTGGGCAGACATGCAGTAAATGGTAAGGTGGCCACAGGGTGCCTGGCTACTTTTCCACCTTGATTTACTGTCAGCATTGACAAGCTTTGTTTCCTGGCTCCTCAGATGCTGTCTGTCGAGTCTAATGCTGTTGATTTGATAATATATCTAATCTGGCTTTCTTGAAAACACCCTTTATCTCAGAGCTGCTGTTCTTCTACTTGAACCATCTTCTTTCCTCTCATTCTTTCTATCTTTCCCAGCTGGGGCCAATCTGTCCGGGAAGTAATCCAACTCACTTCCATCTGATGGGAGCTGATCCCAGTTCAGCTCCCCGTGTCTACTCCAGAGTCAGAATCAATCCGGGTCAGTATTCTGAAATCATTCATTTTCCTCCTCTGCATTTTTGCTGCTGCCTTCCTCCCTCCATTCTGGGTGGTGTGGGGAAAACAGCAGTAGGGACGGGTTCCTTCCTCAGAGCTTTCACAAAGCAAATGCCAAACTGCACTCACCCACACCCACACATGATACCCAGCTTCCTACTTCTCTTTCCTCCAAGGACTAATTACACACCCACACACCCACCCTGTCTTCCCCAAGGCTGGGAGAGTCGTGGCGGCTCCAAAGCAAAGCACCAATGTCCTAGTTTAGAAAAAAAAATTATAATTAAAAGGCCTAGTGTGGCTACCGAGCTTTGGGCAGGTTCCCCACGAGGACACTGGACGTGCCCCACAGGGAACAGCTGCAGAACAGAGCCTGCTGGGGCCTGATTCTGCTCCCCTGACTCTCAGCACTGCCCCCTCCTCTCGTGAGCACTCCCATGGCCATGAGTCATGCCATGAAATGGCTGGAGCATGCTCTCAGTCACACCCCACAGCACGTTGCCAGTTGAACTCTCTGTGTGCACCCCTGCGCGGTGGAAACCAAGGCTGTTGTTCTTACCCCTCAGCAAAGCCAAATGGGGGTCGCTTGGCTTTAAGGGTCCATAAGAATATTACTTTAAAAAAAAATCAATTCTGGCCCATGGGGCTGGTCATGTGCATAAGCTAGACACCACTGGACTTTGAGGAAGTTCAGATGGAGGCCTGACTCTCCCTTCAAGCCTCCCCTATCTCACTGATGGTCTGAGATAAACAGCTGGATGCTGGTCACTTTGGGAACCATTTCAGCTGGGAACGCTGGGATGGAGGCCTCTCTGGCATGCTGAGGTTTCCATGTTCTGGCCAGCCCTGGAAGCAGAATTGCTGGAAATCTCCCAAGGGAGGATCCTCTCATAAGATTGCTGGGCCTTGCTTGTAGACCTCAAGGCTTCAGGGGAAGTGAAACAACTGAGCTGGACCTCATTCCTACTTAAGGCTCACTTAAATAGAGGTATGAAATATATCACTTCTCCTCTCAGTTGGGGCAGCTCTGGTGAAGGTCATTGGTTCAGACACATCAGTATTCAAAGTGTGAAATTCCATTAAAAAATCACTTGAAACATCTAAGCCACAGAAAAGGGTCCATCTGAGCTCAGCTCTAATCCTGCATACAGGTTTGCCATGGGGAGAAGAAACTCATTTTATTCACAATCAGTTTTCCCACTGCTGCCTTCATCTACTGCTACATCTTTATACCCATGGTGAATTGTATTCATTTGGTCTAAAGGACTGTAATGGAACCAAAGCTTTTGGTTTCAAGCAGATGCTTGTAATCTGGAGTCTTGGGATATGCCTGAAGGATATCTGGTATTTACTGGTACTTACTATTTCCTGATCCGCAGCCTTGCAGCTCTGACTAACCTCTACATTTAATAGAATGGGAAGCTGATGTTGTATCATGTCTGAAAGGAAGCAACGAAGATCCATGGTCATGGTTGCAGGTCCAAGGTGTGTGACTGCCTTTCTGTCCATTTACATTTGTTATATGTGTTGTGGCAAGCAGATTCTTCAGCAGGTGGGTGGCCCATGAATGAGGGATGAAAGTGCAGGATGGAAAAGGGAAGGAGGTTTTTCTTCAAAGTGTACAGGCAGAAGAAGTGTACATGCTTCCAGCTCAGCTGGTTTTTATTATCAGGAAATGTTTAACTAGCTCTAGCACAAAAAGGATGTTCTTTCATTTCTGTAAGACAAGATTCTTTGGGCGAATCTGATATCTTTTATTAGACCAACTTAAATAGTTGGAAAAAAGAGTTTAGTAAGCTTTCGGGTTAAACAACCCTTTGTCAGGCTGAGGAAGTCTTTGCAGTTGGTGTGTGCTCTTCCTGGATGGAATGAAGGCTTTTTAATGCATACTGCTTCATAAGGAGCATACAGGAGGAAAAAAGGAAGCATCTGCAGTTATGGTGCCCAAGACAAACTACACTTATCTATCCCCATGGGACAGGAGTGAAATACAGCATGTTTATGAATAAAGAGCAATGCAGTGCCAGAGCTTAGGCTGGGAGACATGGAATGCTGTATCCGGTGGGAGCTACTGGAAGAGCTAGGCCATCAGTGCAGAAACACCAAAGCAGGAATCTGATCAGGACACAGGTGTTAGTGTCTCTGCTCATATGAAGAATGCCCAGAATCTTGCTTCTGTTACAACCTCAGCTTTAGGTCCCTTCCATCCGGTGCCTTGTTCAGCAATGCAGAGCACCATGCAAAGGAACAGCATGGACTCAAGAGGCAGAGTGCCCCTTCCTGAGTCACCCAAAACATGCCCTGCAACATTACGTTCCCCAGCCCTGTGATGTGGCGTTAGAATAGTAATGTACTCCCCTGCCGAATTGCCATAGGAACATCATAGTACCCTTGAAAGTCTGACCCAGCCCAACTGTATTCAGTTTGTGCAGTCAATTGAAATCACAACACGAGAAACGACATCTGCCAGCATCCCTGCCTATGCACATATAAAAGACTGCAGAAAGGAAATCACTGAAGGCCAGATTTGTCACTGCTGTCAGCATTCAGGGAATAGCATTCCCAGTTGCATGTCCAGTTTGTATGCACGATTACCCCAATGGGGTGGGCAAATAAGGCCACACTTCTGATGCAATTTGTGGATATAATCAAACAAATTAGGCCTGCAAAAGTGCATGCGTGTGTATGTGTACACACAAATGAACATTTCAGCAATGACAATCTGGCCCTCTCATATCAAGAGGCTATGACACAGTGCAGAATGCGGAAAGCAGCCTTCACTAGCAATATGAGAGGTAAACATAAAAGGTATGCCTGTGGACAGAGAAACCTTTGTCTGTGGCTCAGGGTCTGTATTATCTAAGGACTTCTGCAGGTAAGAGGGTCAGCTGGTAGTTGTTAGGATCTCCCAGCAGTCACAGCAATATGTTTCCAAACATTTACCCACTAGCTGTGCTCTGTAATTTGCTCTGTACAATATTACTTCAGTGACTACAACAAAAGAGATGGCTTTAGAAAAGCTGCCTGCCCTGCTTTTTTTTTTTATTTGATGGTGTTGACAAAAAAGATCACCACTGAACTGCATCCACCAGTTAATTAGCAGTGATTGATAAGCAGTTGTTAGAATGGACCACGCTCCTGCCTTATCCACATCATATCTAGCGCTGTGTTGGAAGATTGATGTAGATTAAAAAAATAAAACAGCCTCAAACTCTGGAATAAAAAATGAGGCTGAAGACGTATAATGATGTCTTGGGGATTTGATTCAGCCCACCAAATTCCTTTTTAAAACATGATTATTAACCATTGTCAAGTGACCGCCATTTAGCTTGCATCTCGTCAATACATATTTGGTCAAGTTGTATCAGACAGATCCCGAAAATAACAGTACACATAGAAACCCCAGCTTCTCCAGTGCTGCTCCCCGAGTGCATAAAATCTGCATGATGGTTTTGCGATGTGGATTGTCAACAAAGAACAGAGCTGAGTTATGAATCACTTGGAGTTGTCATGTGAGCTGGTTTCACACCAGTCTCTCCAGAGGCAAAGCGCTAAGGAGCTAGAGGGGAAGAGGGACTGTCAGAGGGCAGTAGCTCTGTCTCATTTTGATACAAATGTTTCTTTCTTTTAATTTTTCTGCAACTGGTTATAATTTAACAGAATGGAACTGAGGGACAGATGGAAAATACACGTTTTGTTTTCACGTCTGAACCAGACATGGCCACAAGTCATGTTCTGCAATGATCGGGGGTGTTATCAGTCACACACACTGACATTTTGCCAAAAGGTCTCTTTGTCTGTTCTCTGAAGTGTAAAAGTGAAGGTTACCATTCCTTTCATTTTGCAAGGGAAAACGTGAACGGCTTGATCCTAAGGGTCCATCAGAATATTAACAAAAAAAAGTGGGGGGGTGGAAATCAACTTCCTTCTGATGATCTCACGATACTAAGCCTTTGGGAACTCCCAGAGAAAAACAGTATTTAAGGAAGTTCTTGTAAAATTGCCAACCCAGACATAAAAAGGCTCATTCAGCCTTTACCTGTGTGATCTTAGAAAAAACATTTTTTTGATTTTGTTATTTTTAAGTATTCATTTCCTATAGTTAATATTAGCTACAGCATATCACCAAATTGCCTATTCCGACACTGCTGTGCCCTTGGTACTTAAATATTTAGCTGTGCAAAATAATCAGACTCTTATTGAACTTCACCTGAAGCAGCA